ATATAGGTACTATACTTACTTATCCTGCTTACTACTTAATGGACTTTAAGCTAAGATTTCTTTCTTTCTTATTTTTCTGTTTTTCTTTTTGCAACTCCTATTGGTTGGATATTAGATCTCCTGAATTAATCCCATGTCTTACTTTTTCTCTTCCATTTTCAACGGAGAGTTCAAAAAGAAGCCACTGTTTTCTTTTTTTTAAATTAAAACTTTTTTTAAAGTTTATTTACTTATTTTGAGAGAGAGAGAGAAAGAGAAAGAGAAAGAGAGAGAGAGAGAGAGAGAGAGAGAGAGAGAGAGAGAGAGAGAATACCAAGCAGGCTTTGCATTGTCAGCACAGAGCCTGATGCAGGGCTTGAACTCACAAACCATGAGATCATGACCTGAGCTGAAATCAAGAGTCAGATGCTTAACCCACTAAGCCACCCAGGCACCCCTGTTTTCTCTATATTATTAAATATGACATCTCTCTCTCTCTCTTTCTTTCTCCCAACCAGCAGTTGGGCCCTCGTAAGCAATTATCTTGTGTTCTGGAGAATGTCCTCAAATGACTACTTCTCAAACTACTTTGTAGACAGACCCTCAATGAATCTCCCTGATTTCAGACTCTCTTCTCCTGCCTTCTATACTTGCTGTTGACTCTAAGCCTTTGTCCTGTCTTGTCACCACTGTTTTCATTCACTTATTCAGCCAATATCTATGATGTATGTAATGTGCCAGGCAGTGGGGATGGCGACACTGAAAAGCCTCAGATGGCTTTATTTACCCAGTTCCCAGCAATGATGTCTCCCTGAACATTGGCCAGTATTTCCTCTGCCTGCTGGCCATCTCCACTTGGACGTCTCAAACTACAAATGTTCTCTCCTCTCCCAGAATACTCCTCCTACATCCTCTAGTCTAGTTAGTGTTACCTCAATCCACCCATTCTGCTACACTCTCAAATATTTGTAAAATATCTTAAAGGACCCAGAAGAAGCCTCACAAGTTCCTTAAGTGATAAAAGTCCCTGATATGCTCTTTTTATCTTCTGTGGTCTCAAAGAAAGATACATATATGTTTCCTGGCAGAGAGTCTGGGTTATCTGATTTTGTCCAAAAAAGGCTTTATGGTCATTCTACAGACAAAGGAGCTTAACCAGACAAGCTCTCAGACTACAAAAGCAAATATAATTGACCCCTTGTAGCCACATCGATCTCCACTGACCAATCTATGACTGATAATAAGAAATCATCAGACTTTGGGGCGCCTGGGTGGCGCAGTCGGTTAAGTGTCCGACTTCAGCCAGGTCACGATCTCGCGGTCCGGGAGTTCGAGCCCCGCGTCAGGCTCTGGGCTGATGGCTCGGAGCCTGGAGCCTGTTTCCGATTCTGTGTCTCCCTCTCTCTCTGCCCCTCCCCCATTCATGCTCTGTCTCTCTCTGTCCCAAAAATAAATAAACATTGAAAAAAAAAATTAAAAAAAAAAAAAAAGAAATCATCAGACTTTAAGGGCAGAAATGTCTACCTCCTTATTACGCCCAGAGATAGCAATTTATGCTGTAGAGAGAAGCTTCTGGAAGTGTTGGTCATCTCTTCCACTCTTTCCCCTTCTCTACCCTGCAGTCTGCTGACCTTAATCTTTCCTGTGCAACCAGCAGTTGCTGACTGCTTTGCATGATACACCGACAGTAAGTCTTTTCCACATCATCAGACACAATTACCTGACCTTCCCTACTCTTCTGCCAATGGGCTGGCTCACCTAATGATAAAAATAGTTACCTAGTGCCAAGTCAGCTGTAATAACTATATTGCTGGTACTACATGCACATTGTTTTAATTAAGGCAAGTACACTATGTAACTGTAAGGCATTTGATGCAGGACATAAGAATTTTCTGGATTTTGTGTCTAATGCCTTTGGCAGCACATATGTTCCATACCCATAACTGTGTAGATTATAACTGTAAAAATCCCAAAGGATTCCATTAAGCTTTTAATAGCACATGTTAGAAAATAACACTACCAACTAATGTGATTAATGCAAGAGAACATTTTAAAACCAAATGTCATTTTCTTAAAGTACAGAAAAACGAAAAATGAGGAACTCCCTCAAAGGTGTGTTAATAGGGGTAATTTGGCAGAGTGAAGTGTTAATTCTGCATGGGAGAGCTTGAGTTCATTTTCATTTAAGTTGCTTTTACAGTTAATGTTACAATTTTGCACCGTCTTCTCATTTCTTTGTGAAGAAGGTAGAGCTGAACAAATTATGTCAATGTATGGAAATATTGATAATACCAGTTTTGCTAAGGGAGACTTTTTTTTTTTGTCTTGACGTAGTTATTATTTGAAATAACTTCCTTTTAAAGTTCTGTGTGACGAACGGTCCCCAGTCTGAGATGGAGGAGTTGCACTTGTAGGCCTCTAGGGGTCAGCATAACTCGAAGGAAGAGCAAGACTGTGCAGGCTCTGACCATGACGGAGGTGGGTAGAAGGAGGAATGTGACAAGACAGCCTAACTTCCACTGAAAGTGAGGACAAGGAGTAGAGGGCAAGCTCACTTGACAGCCAGTGCCCATAGTGTTTTGATTTGGGTTCAGTAGAAACTCAGGGACCCAGATCACTGAGTAATATTTTGCCTATCACATAAACTCCCTTGAAACTACTGACAGTATTAAAAAAAATGTTTATATTTTGAGAGAAAGAGAGAGGGGAACACAAGCATGTAGGGACAGAGAGAGAGAATCCCAAGTGAGTTCTGTGCTGTCAGCGCAGAGCGCGACATGGGGCTCAAACTCATGAACCATGAGATCGTGATCTGAGCCAATATGAAGAGTTGGATGCTTAACCGATTGAGTCACCCAGGCACCCCTACTGACAGTATTTTGATGATCCCCTGCTTACATGTTGCAGCTCATTTACTTTTGTAACATCTTTTTTGGCCCTTTGGATTTAGACCACTGAGATGGGAGAGTTAAGCACCACAAATTTGTTCTCCTCAGTATAATGGCTTTCCAGTTTGAAACAACAATAATTGTTATTAAAGATTTTATTTTTAAGTAATCTCTATACCCAACGTGGGGCTCGAACTTACAACCCAGAGATCAAGAGTTGCCTGCTTTCATCAAAACCCTAGAGGAGAAAGCAGGAAAAGACCTCTCTGACCTCAGCCGTAACAATCTCTTACTCGACACATCCCCAAAGGCAAGGGAATTAAAAGCAAAAATGAATTACTGGGACCTTATGAAGATAAAAAGCTTCTGCACAGCAAAGGAAACAACCAACAAAACTAAAAGGCAACCAACAGAATGGGAAAAGATA